ACTACTAACTACAACCTGTATTTATACAATTATTATGAAAACATTTTGAAACAGCATGGTATATATATAAATGGCTCAATTGCCAGGGGTTATTATTAGTCATATACTATGATTATTGTATTTGTACCTATTCAATTTCCGGTTCATTTGCCCAAAGATAAATTAAACATATGGGTAAAACATTCACTATAAATTTTATAAGAAAAGTAAGCCTGCCAGGCTACAGCTGAAAAGCTGGAGATTAAAACTTATTGTTCCAACCCATAAAGCAGTCGCAACAGCCCTTCACAAGTCCACTGCTGTACATCCCTCCCCTCCTTCCCCAAAGAACGCCACAAAATACGGTCCTGCATGACTAGCATGGGCTGGGGACAAAAAATGTATCCACCGATTATATCCACTGACAAGGCATAAAATTATCTTGTCCCTATGCCAAAGCACGGCAACGGGGAGAAGTAGATCCCCGTTTGACATAACGAGTAGATATACTATATCCCCCGTCCGTAGCATGGGGCCAAATGAAAGATAAAAAATTATACTTTTTTGGCATTTGAAAGGGACAAGACTAGTCTCTCTATCTAAGTCTAAGGCTATCTCCCATTTTATCTACTGTGAATATTATATCCACCAGTGTGCCCATGCTCGAAGGGTGGATAAAACTAAGCAAGGGGATAAACATTTTCTCCTTTCCCCGGGGATAAAATAGTCTCCTGCCCATGCTAGCCCTGCTGAGCCACCTGCATCCGTCGATTTGCTGCATCTCTTACCAGGTCGTCGCTCCGTCCAGTATAGGGCCGCCTCACACTTCGCTTACCGGTACGAGGATGCCAATCGAGAACTTCCCCATCGATAACTCTCCATAGCTCACTTATATAGAAGCATTGACAACACGCACTAGTTGTGCAATCTGGTTTTCAAGTTCTCAGGTATACGTGATGAAAAGATGTGTCGTAATCTATCGAACGCTGCTCAGCCGTGTTGTATCCGCCGATTGACCGACGGTCGAAGTTGGACTTACCAAGTCGGACTATTTGTCCCAGGTAAACACTCGTCAACAACTTCGAACTTAGTGCTCCCAACAACTACCGGCATAGGTGTGACATGGAATTTATACATCTTTGTTTTGTCCATGTTCATTTTAAGACCTATCCGTTCACGATCACTATCGACGTCATTCAGCATGGTGCTTAGGCATTTAGTGATTCTGCCATAAGGACTATATCGTCGGCAAATCGAAGGTGACTGATGTACTTTGCCATTGATGTTAATACAGTATCCTTATTTCCGTTCCAATAACTTGAAAACGTTGAATGTGCATTATTTACGTTGAAAACATAAATACGCTGCATTTACGACTTCTGTTAGCAATACTAACACATTTATATTACCTTTTTTTAAAAATTGTCTTGATTTTCGAATTATTTTATAATAAGTATCTATTTCTTTTAATGTTTAAAATGTTTCCGTTTTAATATTTGTAAAATAGTAAATGTGGGAGTATTTAATATGGCAACATTATAGGAGACAGGAAAAGGAAAAGGGGAGTTTTGGCGGGAAATTGACCGGCGGCGGTTTGCTGCTCCTGTATTATTGTTTAAATAATGGTTTGAAGTGGACTTTGATATGTAAAAGTGTTGCGATTTTGTGTATTAAGTGTCTACGCATGTGAACTATTAGTGGAAACAGTGAAACAAGTGCTCTGATGGTGATGGATTCTCAAGATAAGCTGTTTGTTTGCATAGGCACCTTTAGATACCATCGCCAACTATCAGCTGTCTGCTGGATCAAGTTGCCGCCAAAATCTCCCAAGAACTGCACAATCTGACGCATCAACATATTGTGAAGCAGTATACTATGAGGGAGTGGGGAAATTACAATAAACCGAATAAAAATACTTAAGACTTGGCCTAAAGGTCTAGATACCAGGCCATAAACTCCAAAAAAAAAAGGAAAAGGGTGGTTTTGTCAAGAAGGGCAAGCTACTAGAATATTTTGTCGAAAATACTTGTTAACAGCATATAGGTATAGGAATTAAACATAAAACTTATAATAATAATGTAATTAAAGTGTATTGGATCCAAATCATAATTTATTCTTTTATTTCTAAGTGATTCAGCTAATAATTCAGAAGTGGGATACACGAGCCTGCCCTCAGGTATGTTCTATTGTTTTCAATTTGATAAGTTAACTGCGTAATATCCATTAACTAAATTAAAATAAATATAAAATCAAAAATCGGTACGACTTTCCATTGACGTCAGTGGAGTTTGGTGTTGATACGTATTTTTACAGAAAGATTACACTATTATAAGCACACACACAAAGTCTCAATATACGGAAACGCGTAATTTTTGAGAAAAGAATAATTGAAAATCAATTATTCTTGCAATGTTTATGTCTAATCTGCTAATAAACTGGCGCCATTTTGTAATGTCATTGTCGACGTCAATAGGGATGTCGATTCTTTCCGAAAAAGGTCGATTTTTAAATCGATTCAAATCGTAAGCTGATGCATCGATTCCTAAAAAATCGATTTCTAAAATATCGATTTTTTTCATGTTTACATTTATAATGTAAATATAAATCCATTTTATGAGAAAAAAATCCCGTTCATCATAAAAAATAAGGGGACTGATTCATACGGATTTCTGTATCTATTTTGAGACTGCTACGTCTCCGGCGCTATAAAACCACTCTAGGGGTAGGACAGACTCGTACCAGGTGGAGTCGGGGTCAATCAATTCGGTTCTTTGACATAAGTTGAACCTAACCTATTTTATTTATCTGCCCTAATAGGTACTGTTAAATAAAACAAATTTCAATAAGAGATCATTTATCATGGTATCTTTCTTGTTTTTCATAAAATGGGTTTATATTTACATTATAAATAGAAACATTAAAAAAATATAGACATTTTAGAAATCGATTTTTTGTGAACCGATACATCAGCTTACGATTTGAATCGATTTAAAAATCGACCTTTTTCGGAAAGAATCGACATCCCTATTGACGTCGACAATGACATTACAAAATGGCGCCAGTTTATTAGCAAATTAGACGTAAACATTGCAAGAATAATTGATTTTCAATTATTCTTTTCTCAAAAATTACGCGTTTCCGTATATTGAGACATTGTGTGTGTGCTTATAATAGTGTAATCTTTCTGTAAAAATACGTATCAACACCAAACTCCACTGACGTCAATGGAAAGCTAAGCCCAAAAATCTGTTTTGGGCGATAAAAAAAATGGGTTTTAAATAGTATATTGTACCTACATGTTATGAGTTAGAGAGTTTTTAAATATTATCAAGGGTACACCCTATCTAATATAAAATATTTGTTTATACATCATGATAATAATTATGTAGTATTAAGCACTTATATATACTCATGAACATCAAATAATTAAAAGTTGTATAATAAGCAAAAAAAAGAACTTCTATGCACTATTGTCAAAAAAAATATTATTAAATTGTCATTGCTACATAATTTGTAATGGTAATCCAAAACTATGGACTTAACTGCATTAAAACTGAATGAGAATCATGATAAGCTATAATTATTCAACAACACTTAAACAAAACCCTATATTATACCTTTTATTCAGAACATATTTTCATTTATGACCCATTTTGTTAGTATAAAACAAGCATAACTCCTACTAATATAATGATACTGTGGCATATTACAAAGTTACAAAGAAAGTGAAATATTTATAAATGTTTGGAGTGTAATTGTTAATAAATAATATATTTGATGTCACACTAACTTCTAAAATGATGTGGAAATACTTCTCATAAGCCAGAAGAAGCAACAACAAAAAAAAACATTACATTATCTATTTACTTTTATTTAGTTCAATTTAACAGTTGTTTTAAATAATTGTGTGATTATTATGCAAGGAATATCTGTAGTCAGCGGTGGATTCGTTGCTATTATGATGCTTGATGCAAATTTATTTGCTTATTAAATGTAATGACAACAGTATTGTTTCTTTTAATATTACTTGTAATATAAAGCCATATTTTATATAACTTATGGGAAATTAATTATAATACATATAAGACTTTCTATTTTATAAAAGCTCATACTAATTGCTGAATTCATTTTCCCCACTCCCTTATCTATATCACTTTATCCTTTGACCTTAAAATACTATAGACTTTTTATCCTTTGACCAGATTCTAATATATTATTGATTCATTATGTCAGACTCAGACCAGAGTGCGCATACCCCAGCACTTAATAGTGATATGGTACAAAAGAGTAAACAATTAAATAAAAGCGTAGTTTCAACTGCAAGTAGAAGTCAGCGAAATCAATCACAAGAATTTCAGGTACGATCTAGGTCTAGGTGCAGGTCACGAAACCGTCGAATGACAGGTGGTAACAGTCGGAAGAGTTCACATGGCACATGTAGTAGGAACAAACGCCAAAATAGAAGTCGCTCACATGTTAGGTGCCCTCGTAGTTTCCAAAGAGAACGCAACAAATCTGCACGCTCTTCAAGTACTAGTACAAATAGTACATGGAGTAGCATTAACTCAAGTGCGGTGTCATCAAAGGTGCTTAGTAGCTCTGAGCCCTCTTCGTCAAATGACTCTCGGAAAAAAGTAAGACGCCATAGAATTAAGCGCTACACTTGTCATGCTCAGCGTAGACGAAGCAAGGCAGGCGGTGGCGTAATGGAACGTTTTATTGATGCAATCAGCAATCATGGTCGGAATACGTTTGTAGGTGCCCAGGATGTCATACCAATTTTCGATCCTAGTCAGAGAACTCAATTGACAAAATCTTGTCTTAAAAAAGTGAATGAAACTGCAGCTATATACGGATGGAGTGACAAGCAGACTATTTTTCATGCTTTACCGAAACTATCTGGTTTGGCACGACATTGGTATGAAGGGTTGTCTTCAATTGATCTATCGTGGAAACAATAGCAGAAGCAGCTGTTGGAAACTTTTCCAGATGATCGTAATTATGCTGACAGATTAACGGAAATGCTGTCTCAAAGAAGTCGTAGGGAAGAATCATTGGAAGAGTATTTTTATGACAAAGCTAAATTAGTCAGTAATTGCAAAATAAAAGGAAAATCGGCAGTTGACTGTATAATACATGGCATTTTTGATCATAATGTAAAACTAAATGCCCAAGGTGCTAATTTTAAAACTCCAGACAAACTCCTTAAATATTTGCGCAGTATTTCAATTAAAAACTTCAGCAAAGACTTCAAGAAGCACACTTTTACATTAAGAGCTCCCTCAAGTTCTATAAAAAGAACTGAAAGAAGTAAAGATAATAGACTATCTAATGCAACAGCTATGACTCGCACTTGCTATAATTGCTCTGAGCTAGGACACATTGCACCTAAATGCCACAAGGAAATTCAAAAATGCTTAAAATGTAATCGCTTAGGACATAAGGCTGAATACTGTAGACGTGACTTCAACATAGAGAACAAGAGATTAAATGTAAATGCAGACGGTAATGTAAACAAGGTGCAATGTATTACAGCTCAGGACGAAACACGAGAAAATAATATATATCATAAAATTGTGAAAGTAAACAATACACCAATAACTACATTTGTAGATTTTGGAAGCCAGTGTACAATCATTAAAAATAGTATAGCTAAAGAACTGAATTTACTTATAAATTGTGATACTTTGCCACTTATAAGAGGATTTGCTTTCGGTACATTAACACCTATAGGAAGAGTAAAAATAAATATTTGTATAGACTTTGTTGATGTAAATATTGAAGCTTTTGTGGTGCCAGATGAGTTTTTGAACACCGATATGTTACTGGGACAAAATGTCACAGAGATGTCTGATGTTGTTGTCTTTAAGACTATTTCAAGTTTAATACTTTATTCATATAAAGCAGAGGCGGATAAAATAAAGCTATTTATTCTAGAAGATACTATTGTTAGGGGTATGCATATAGTCAAAGTATGTTGCGATATAAAATACACGGGGCACATATATTTACCTGGTAATACCTGCTTTAAGGATGGAGAAGAAATAATTACTCTACCAGGAGTGTATGCCGTAAGAGAAAATCTGGGTTATATTCCCGTCATATGCTTCACCAATAAAGATGTCTTACTAAAGAAAGGTAGACTTCTCGCACGGGTTCACATACTTCACGGACAGCCCGATGCATTACCTACAGAGCCACCAACTGAACTGCAGATAAATAAAATGAATTCTATTGACCGGTTAAAAACCTCAGGCGATAATGTGATAACTATCGAAATGTTAAACATTGGCAGTGATTTAACACAGATGCAGGAAGATGAACTCATGACTATGGTAAACGAATTTCGAGACTGTTTTGCGTTAAACTTGCATGAACTAGGGATGACGGACATAACTGAAATGCACATACAATTACATGACGATACACCAGTATCATATAAACCCTACAGATTACCTTATAGTGAAAGATTAGTTGTACGCGACATAGTAAACGAATTATTAGACGCCAAAATAATCCGTGATTCCAACTCATCCTATGCCAGCCCTATAGTACTTGTTAAGAAAAAAAATGGAGAACACCGTTTGTGCGTCGACTATCGAGCGCTCAATAAGAAAACCATAAAAGACTCATATCCAATGCCAGTTATTGACGATCAATTAGACCGTCTTAGCGGTAAAGTGTATTTTACAAGTCTCGATCTTAAGTCGGGGTACTACCAAATACCGATGGCCGAGGGGTCTAGACACTTAACGGCATTTGTAACTCCAAACGGGCATTACGAATATACACGTATGCCGTTTGGTCTCGTCAATGCACCTGCCGTATTTCAACACATGGTTAACAAAGCACTCGGAAAAGATAGATACGACTTGGCTATCCCTTATATGGATGACTTGCTCTCTCCTGCAACAACCATTGACGAAGGGTTAGCAAAAGTGCGCAAAATTTTGATATCGTTACGTAGAGCTGGCTTGACTTTGAATATAAAAAAATGTTATTTCTTCAAAAGAGAACTAGATTATTTAGGATACGAGGTATCTTGCGAAGGCCTGCGACCAGGTAGTAAGAAAACTGAAGCTGTAGCTTCTTTCCCTACTCCTACAAATGTACATCAAGTCAGGCAATTTGTAGGACTAGCTAGTTTTTTTCGAAGGTTTATTATCGGATTCGCAAGTATTGTTAAACCATTAACAACCCTTACCAAAACTAATGTTGCATGGAAATGGGGAGAAGAGCAAGAGACAGCTGTTCAAATTATCAAATCCAAATTAGTTGAGAGACCAATATTGGCACTATATAACCCTGCATATTTAACAGAGGTACATTGCGATGCAAGTAAGTTAGGCGTTGGTGGCATCATATTGCAGAAGCAGAACGAGAACCTACCACTCAAGCCGGTCGCATATTTTAGCAAACAGACCACCAAGGACGAGGAGCATTTACACTCTTACGAGTTAGAAACACTCGCCGTTGTTTTGTCATTAAAGAAATTTCGTAAATATTTAATAGGGATTCCTTTTAAGGTGTATACAGATTGTAATGTTCTAAGGACAACGTTAACAAAAAGGGACTTAATTCCTCGTATAGCCAGGTGGTGGTTGTTGTTACAGGAATATAATTTTAGTATTGAGTATAGACCAGGTGAAAGCATGAGACACGTCGATGCTTTAAGCCGAAACCCTATCCAAGGAACAAATGTGAATGATTGGGATGATATTAGTGCTTTTGAAGTTATGAATATTACAACTACGGAATGGCTACAATCAGTTCAAATGACAGACCCAAAACTTAAATTAGTGAAAGCAATTCTAGATAGTGACAGCAAAGATATCAAAGACATAATAGATAATTACGTAGTAAAGGATGCTAAAATCTACAGGAAGGTAGGCGATGCATTAAAATGGGTAGTGCCAAATAACGCCAGATGGCGTGTTTGCCAACTTAACCATGATGAAGCAGGTCATTTCTCCTATGATAAGACTTTGCATAAAATAAAGCATGATTACTGGTTCCCTAAAATGAACCGATTTGTCCGGAAATATGTTGCAGCATGTCTTAATTGTCAATATAATAAGGCATCGACTTCAAAACGAAGCGGTTTTTTGCATCCCATACCCAAAGGTAATGTTCCATTTCAAACATTACACATGGACCACTTGGGACCATTTGTTAGAAGTAAATGCGGAAATACGTATTTACTGGGTATTATCGATGGATTTAGTAAATTTATTTTCATTAGAGCCGTTAAAAACCTAAAAAGTAAGACGACGGTTAAGATCTTGACCGATATATTTGGCGTTATAGGTAGTCCAAAAGTAATAATTTCGGACAGAGGGACTAGCTTCACATCGACAACATTTAAAAATTTCGTGAATTCCATTGGTGCAAGACACGTTCTAAATGCGGTTGCAACACCTCGCGCTAATGGACAGATCGAACGGTACAATCGTACTATACTGGAATCATTAGCAGCATCAAATTACGGTTTAGACGAACGGGACTGGGACACTCACATTAACAAAGTTCAATGGAGTTTAAACAATACGCGTAACAAGAGTACTGGTGCTACTCCGTCCGAGGTAGTTTTCGGGCGAAACACCATGAACCCAAGTGAAGGACCTATTCTAAATGCCGTTCAGGATGTGAACTCAAACACTCATAATAATCAGTCAGAAAATGAACTAAATAATACTAGAGACACCATTCGTAACCTAGTTGTAGAAAGAACGAAATCTAATCAGCATGCCATGAAGAAATATTACGATACAAAAAAGGCACCAACTCAATTCTTTTCAGTAGGTGACCTTGTAATGATTCCAAACTATCACATTCCTGCGAATGGTAAAAGTAAGAAGTTACACCCAAAATATAGAGGACCTTTCAGAATTAATGCTGTACTTGACAATGACCGGTACGAGATTGTTAGCATAGATGGATATTCCAAACGCAAATATAAAAGCGTTTATGCCGCAGACGCGTTGAAGAAGTGGATCACTTTTACAGCTGATAGCAGTGATCATGGTGCTAAAATAAATTCTAATGACTCTAGCGAGGACAGTACTCAATCTGTCAATAATTAGACCTATAATCAATTCCTTATAATTCTTCTTCCAATTAATTGCCAGAAAATCCCTTCATACAATATCCCGATCCAAGCTACAATTATTTCAGGTTAACAAGATCAGTTATGCACTTTGTCAGCTGCAAAGATTCACACTGATTTCGATTGGAATAAACTAGTTGTAAGTACTAGACATTTCAATTACTTCTTGAAATAATAAGAGAAAATCGGTTATCAAATTGTTTATTTGTGACTCTAAGTACCCTTTAATATCCATTAATTTGTGAGTTTAATGTGGAAAAGTGTATTTACTGTAACAATATATATATATATATATATATATATATATATATATATATATATATATATATATATATATATATATATTACTTAGGGGGTGCTCACTCCATGTATCAATGTGAAATATACTACTTAATGTGGTGATCACATCATCTATGTGAAATATGCTGTTACACTACAGTGCTCACTCCATGTATCAATGTGAAATATACTACTTAATGTGGTGATCACATCATCTATGTGAAATATGCTGCTAGACTGCAGTGCTCACTCCATGTATCAATGTGAAATATACTACTTAATGTGGTGATCACATCATCTATGTGAAATATGCTGCTACACTGCAGTGCTCACTCAATGTATAAATGTGAAATATACTACTTAATGTGGTGATCACATCATCTATGTGAAATATGCTGTTACACTACAGTGCTCACTCCATGTATCAATGTGAAATATACTACCTAATGTGGTGATCACATCATCTATGTGAAATATGCTGCTACACTGCAGTGCTCACTCAATGTATCAATGTGAAATATACTACTTGATGTGGTGATCGCATTATCTAAGTGAAATATGCTGCCACACTGCAGTGCTCACTCAATGTATCAATGTGAAATATACTATTCAATGTGGTGATCAAATCATCTATGTGAAATTATGTAGCCACACTACTGTGCTCACTCAATGTATAAATGTGAAAAATGCTACTTAATGTGGTGATCACAATACCTACATAGGTGTTTATGTGTATCTATATGTGCATTAACATGGAATAAACTACTGAATGTAGTGATCACATCGTCTATGTGAAATATGCTGCCACACTGCAGTGCTCACTCAATGTATCAATGTGAAATATACTATTCAATGTGGTGATCAAATCATCTATGTGAAATTATGTAGCCACACTACTGTGCTCACTCAATGTATAAATGTGAAAAATGCTACTTAATGTGGTGATCACAATACCTACATAGGTGTTTATGTGTATCTATATGTGCATTAACATGGAATAAACTACTGAATGTAGTGATCACATCGTCTATGTGAAATATACTGCCACACTGCAGTGCTCACTCAATGTATGAACGTGAAATATGCTACTTAATGTGGTGATCACAATACCTACATAGGTGTTTATATGTATCTACATGTGCATCAATGTGGAATAAACTACTGAATTTAGTGATCACATTATGTGCCTATGTGAAATATGCTGTTAATAACGCTATAATTACTACACTGTTTATAAATCTATGATACATTAGCTACCTAACTATCTCATTTACTCAATAAAAAAGGAAAGGACCAGGACTTTTCCAACGAGTACATCCGATTACATTACTATAGGGACTTTTAATTTACATATTTTCTTTTTTATTGTGCCCACAGGGACACTGATACAGTGATCAGTGAGACAGCCAGAGACACAGTGACCAGTCAGAAGACCAGCAGTGAGAAAACTGGCGCTAAAAATGGGAATAATGAAGATTTTTAAAAATTATCTAAATAAGAGATAACGATAGTTATTATTAGATAAGTCATCAGATGCGATACTAAAATCTGTTTTAAATTTAAATTTTAAATTTAGCTAATTAACATCGATTGTAATACTTAACTATAATTGAGCATTATAATATTATGTAAGAATTAACCTATTTGTTTTTTTTTTTTAGAGAAATAATTATTTGTCATATTACATACATATATATATATATACAATTGAATAGGGATTGTGGACTCGTGTTAATCGAATGGCCGGGTCGAAATAGAGTCATTTCGTTAACAGGACGGCCGTCTGTTAGCAATACTAACACATTTATATTACCTTTTTTTAAAAATTGTCTTGATTTTCGAATTATTTTATAATAAGTATCTATTTCTTTTAATGTTTAAAATGTTTCCGTTTTAATATTTGTAAAATAGTAAATGTGGGAGTATTTAATATGGCAACATTATAGGAGACAGGAAAAGGAAAAGGGTGGTTTTGTCAAGAAGGGCAAGCTACTAGAATATTTTGTCGAAAATACTTGTTAACAGCATATAGGTATAGGAATTAAACATAAAACTTATAATAATAATGTAATTAAAGTGTATTGGATCCAAATCATAATTTATTCTTTTATTTCTAAGTGATTCAGCTAATACTTCCTACATGTCAGGGACCATGCGCACACTGAATTTTTTTGCTGTGGCACGCAAACAGTCTGGATTCGATTCCCGCCGGTAATAAAATTGTCGTATATGCTTATTCACCACCTGAAGGACTTGTGAAAATATGTAATGATGGTGACTATTATAATTTCATCATCATCATCAAAATAAAAATTAACATTTAGATAGATAGACCGTGTATATTTTTGAAAGTTATTTGTAAAAGCATTGGCCTATGACTGAATTACTGACTACTTGGAGTAGATTAAATGGTAAAACTAGCTAGTGATGGTCCCTTAATATTTACAGAAAATTTTCACGTAGCCATGCTGAACCTATATTATGGTGGAAGCAAGAATGGGTTGGCTCGACGGGGAAAGAACCACGCTTTCACATAATAACAGCGTAAAATAGCAGCTTAATGCTGCTGTGTTTCGTACGGTGAGTTTAGAGAACCGGAGACCCTTTTTACTGGAAACGAGGCATTCCATCTTAGTGCTCAGGGGTAACAACGCATCTGCAATCCTTCGCCGAGGATAGATGTAGTTTATGGGTCACAGCATAGACTTACCATTAGGTGGACTCTGCGTCTGTTTGTTTGTCATTGTCACCCTTCTTCTATAAAAAAAAACACAATTTTTATGAGAATACAATCCTCTTCAGTTTATTATATCTTGTTAATAACAGTTTAGCTAACACCTATTGCAGTATACACAAGTGCTACTTTGGTCTATAAAGAAGAAACTCAGAAAAACATTTACCTCCTCTTGCTGACTGAGAGAAGAGCGACTGCCCCATTCATCCCAAGTTTCTCGTTCACCTGTTTAAGACAAATATATAATTTATTAAATCCTAAAAAATACTGGAATAGTATCTTTTGTAATGACTACAAAATGATACAAATCCAAATACGAATTCTTTATTTGTATGAAACACATTTGACGGGGTCTTAAGTTAAATAGATATAATGTACATGTGTGTAGTCTGCTCGCAGATTTGCAAATATTTAGGTAAATAATACAAAAAAAAAAACTATCTGTAAGTGGACTACATAAATAATTAAACTAATTTTTCCATTCTAAATATTCTTTTAGGCTATAGAAACAATTTTCCAGTCTCTTTTAAATTCTTAGGTAATGTGTTATAACATGATATACTCCTGGTATATACATTTCTCTTATACATACTTTTATGACAGGGAGGTTGATATATTAGGTCTGCACATTTACTTCTTAAACGTCTTGTTGTAGTCTCTTGGCGGGTTTTAAAATACTTAGAAAATGATTTGATAAAAAGACAGGCTTCTTTGATATATAAACAAGGTAATGGAAAAATATTATATTTTTTAAAATAAGGTTTACAACTACCTAAACACCAAATGTTGCTTAATATTAATAATAATATGTGTGTTACACCTCAGAACTTTTTTCTGGGTGAACCGATTTCGATGATTCTTTTTTATTCGAAAGCTGGTGGTTTTCTATGTGGTCCCATATAAATATGATTAAGGTCTGACCAGTAGTTTTGATTCAGATTTTTCTCGCAACATAGCTAAGAACACTCGATTAAGAGCCCCTATAAAAAGACAAAAATTAAATCGAAATTGGTTCATCCGTTCAGGAGAAATGATGCCACAAATAGACACAGATACACATATAACACCCCTCTGTTTTCGTCAGCGGTTAAAAAAAATATTTGGTACAACACACTAGAGCCACAACATCCTAAAATAACTACATATTATACATACATACATATAATCACGCCTCTTTCCCGTAGAGGTAGGCAGAGACCACTTCTTTCTACTTGCTAAGATCCTTACATACTTGTTTTGCTTCGTCCACTGTCATTATTCCCTTCATACATGCTCTACGGTTTAGGGTACTCTTGACCCGGCCTTTTTTCAAGACGTCCCTGATTTGGTCTAGAAATGTCCGCCTACGTCTACCCCATCCAACACTTTCATTCACACTCGCCTTATACACTTTTTTCGTCTATCATTCTTCATTCATTCTCTCGACATGGCCAAACCATCTCAGCATACTTTCTCAATTTTTGTCACTACATCTTCTTTCAGACCACAACGTATTATACACCTAAAATGACCTTTTATACATGGTAGAGCAATGCTGCAGCTATATTAATTGTATAGTTGTAACACAAATGGGTCAAATCAACCGGGGAAGGACAATGCTCTCACATAATACCAGTCTAAAATAGCAGCTTAATGCTACTATGATTTATAGGGTAAGTGTTTATATATTATCACCACTGCATCTTGTTGCTATACCTTATGGTTATCACTGCACTGTTTTTATTAATTATTTTTTTAGGATATCCAAAAAAAGTGGTTTTATTTCTACATAGAAATCTATGTAACAATAAGACCGCCTATTGTGTTTCTCTCAATGTTTGTTTATTTTTGTTATATTAACCTATCCTTGGTGTACAATAAAGATTATTGTAGTGTGTATTTTGTTTATAGGATAAGGGTGACAAGCAAGCACACAGTCCACCTGATGGTACTTGGTTACTGTGGCCCATTGATATCTACTTCTC